CACATGCCATGCATGACCTATGTGTGATTTAATTAAGACATGTGATAAAAATGGGTCTTAAATTATAACACTATATAACAAAATATAACAATATATAACAAGACACCATAACACAACCCGCTATAAAGCAAGCAACCAAATGCCAATCTGGTCCCCCTCGCCTAGCGATCAGCGCCTAGCTAGGCGGTTATCCTAAAGTGAGGCGTGGGGTGTCGCGTGGCAGCCCTATGGCCACTCGGACGCCACATGGCACTATTCAGTCAGGACTAAAGTGGAATTTGAGTCAAACAATTCGAAAAACCTCATTTTTTTAACAAATAAAATTTCGAATAATTCTCTAAAATTCACAATAAATATTTAAAGTACTTTCGAGCAATTTTTAGGTTTTTCTCATCATTATAAAATCGAACAAAATGTATAGTGAGATCTCAGATTAATAACTGTAGGTATCGGAGTACTCCATTGAGCCACTCCCGAATGATGTTCGGTCGAGTCTCAAATCGACCCAATAGAACTATGGTCCACAATCTAAAGTAGAGACACATAATTGATCATATTAAATTCGTTATGCCAGAACTTTCGATCATCCAGCTCTCAATGGATTACAGGTGTACCCCTGTGGGACATGATCTAACTCAATTACAAAGGTCATCTCAAAGCACATGTGCACTGGCTCTTCCAAACTCGAATAATGCATGTGGAAGAGTGACTTCCCGTACGAAATGAAGATGACATGTCATGTTAATGCTCTCGTGTCAAGATACACACTTATGTCTCATAAGTCTTGACCATTCTATACTAGGTGAATACTCAATAAGTACTCGAGTTCTATTTTTTTCATTTGGATTCTCCAAGCCATGACCGATCGCAGCTAAATATGAAGCTAACGTATAAAATCCTGACTAGGAGATGACCCTCACACTTCCTTGAGAAATTGCTTTCTCAACACGTGAACTCTCGATGCCTCATGTGTAATCGGGGTAGAAGAATCTGGGCTCCATTTCGCAAGGCGCCAAGATTTCAATCTCTCAATTGCTCCCATTAAATGAGAGACTATTGGAATTTAGGCCTTGATAGGTCATATTTCCAACAATATCGTGCCATGGCTTCTACCATATGTGAACTTATTTGGTTGAAATCTCTTCTCCAAGACTTGGGCTTCAAGACAACTAAGCCGATTCGGTTATTTTGTGATAATCAAGCTGCTATCCACATTGCATCTAATCTCATTTTTAATGAAAGAACTAAACATATCAAAGTTGATAGTCATTTTGTTAGGGAAAAGGTCTAAGACAAAATTATTTGTACCCCTTATGTTAAAAGCGAAAATCAGCTTGCAGATATCTTCACCAAAGCTCTTGAGAAAGACAAGTTTCTCTCTAATCTTAGCAAATTGGGTACCGTCAATCTCTATGCACGAACTTGAGGGGGGAGTGTTGAATGAGTCATGTGAGCTGGATTGCCTATCATCAAGGGTGTGTACTGGATTGCCTATCATCAAGGGATAATTACACGCACTCAAGGATTTCCTTCCTATTTGTACTCATCTGTATATGGCGTGTATTTGACTCTTTTTTCTATATATTGTAAGGGAGGTATTGAGTGGAGGATATAATAAAAAAGAGAACTCCCTTCACCATGGATGTAGGCCCTTTTTTGGCCGAACCACGTTAAATTGCTTTCTTTGACTTTCTTCCTCAATCCTTAATAGTTTTCTAGTGGATACTACCATCAAACAAGGTTCTGGAATGGGAAGGTTTAAATTTGTTGACAATTGATTTGTGAGAAAACCTAATAAAAACAAGTAATCAACCACGCGATTTCTAATATAATTCCCTTACAAAATAAACTAATTGCCTTGTAGAAGAGGGTCTAGACACTAAAAAGTGGGCTACTCTTCATCCCAGGATCATGGAGTATATAATAAAGTAACATGGTCAAATCTGTAAAATACGGTGATCCAGATGACCCTATATGCACCACACCCTTAGCAATATTGTTTCCCATCTAATGCTCATGCCTCCCACTAGAACAAGGGAAACTAAATGAATTTGTCTTCTTACCATGTTATGTTCCGATGCTCCCAATTCTACAATCCAATTAAGGAAAGTTAAGGGGCATCTTGCACCATGTGTATACACTAGCATGGATAGGGAAGCAGACAGTTCATGCCACCTTCAAATAATTAATCTAAAAATCATATAATGAAAAATAATTAAATCTTAATAATTTTGATTGGAATCCAACAAGGTGTAATAATTATGAATTTGCTGGAGTACTACACCTTCTACTATGGACTGCAATCCACGCTTGCTTTTTCAAACTGACCCAGCGGTTCCTATGACCCACAGACCACTACAGGGATTCATAATTGGGCCACCAAAGTCAGCCGATAGATAAGATGATACAATCTCAGTTTATGGATTACAGATTTTCATCTAGAGACGAACCAAGGTCACCTAGACCTAATAGTGCATAAGGGTAATTTCTCGCATATGTACACACTTCACTTTAAAAGGGGGTTTGCTTTCCCGATACGAATATCATATGTACATGCTGTGTGATAGTTCGAGGATGAGGCTTTGGCCCTCGTCTCTAAAGTGTAACCATGACACACAAGGGTCATACAGTCCCTAGACTCAATCATCCAGGAAACTCCAACCTCGGGAAGGGATAACCCATAAACCCTCATTAGTTTAGTTCTCTCCTAGCATGTCAAGCCAAATCTGTTCCACAAAAGACCACACTACCACTTTGTTTATGTTCCACTATATCAGATATTAATTATATGCTATCATAAGGCCTTTAATGGCCACAGAAACTCAACACAAATATTACGACTATATGTATTTTGTTGTAAAAAGTTATTAGGATGACCTAAGAATCTATTTTCATCTCTAGTTATAAAATTTTAAACCTAAAAAAAGTTCAAATCAAGTAGATCTAAAAACAAACAAAAAACTAGAAAATGGACGGTCCATATAAAGTGTTGCAAGATGTGAACTTTTTAGGGCTCAAAATCCCCTTTTTTTTTCTTTTCATTTTTTTTCTGTTTATGTTTTTTTTTCGTACATCTCGATGTCGAGCTGATCAATTATAGAGTTTTTCCTTAATTCTATAATTTAAGGTTGCAACCTATATTGGCTCTTTCCTTTATGGGTTAAGTACCATAAACTTTTATTACAAATTTTCAAATCAAATTATTAAAATACATTATATTGTCTTTACAATGAAAAAAAAAAGTTACATTTCTAATATCTTAATTACATTTTTATTTTTATTCTCATATTACTTATTTTTGTATCCAAATCTTCAATATTTCCTCGCATGTTAAAAATCTAATATTTCTTCTTAACGGATATTTTGAGTTTCATCGTATTGATCATTTTTATTCTTTAAAAATTAATTTATTATCTCATTACATTTCAACGTGCAACATAAATCCTCTAGTTTGAGGTAGCTCGGGGCTTGTCCCTGTTTTGAAGACTTACGAAACAGCGTTCAAACTATTCGGGCGAGCCAATCCGGACTCGCTCGAGCAACTCGGGTGCGCCACCCTGGCGAGCCCAAGTATCCCCAGAATGGTGGTCAGGCTCAGGATCTTAAGAAGGTTTAAAAAACATTATAAAAAATCTAAAAAATAAAAAATTTATTTGTAAAACATTTTTTATATATATTTTCTATTATTTTGAAAAGATTGGGAAGTATTTGGGCCCTGAATACTAATTTTTCCATTTTCATTCCTTTTTAATTTCTAAAATGCCCATCATCACAATTTGATATTTTTAAAAATCTATTTCTTTTTACTACTTTTTTAATAATTTAATTATAGGGAAAATTATAAAAACCCCCAAACTCATACCAACTTCCCCCAATCAAGTTTTTTTTTTTTTAGCAATTTTTATCCCAAATTTAAATTTCCTAACAAATACCTTCAAGAGGTAAAATGAATATCAAAATACCCTTTGGCCGGTACAAAATAGGGGCGGTTCGACACTTTAGGCATGTGATCTGACACAAAATGAGGGCGGTCCGGCACTTAGGGCTTTTAGAAAGTATGCGGTCTAAGACTTTCGGCTTTCGGTTTGGCACAAAATGGGGGCAGTCTGGCACTATGGCCATTTTCATTAAAAAAAAAAAAAAATATATTTTTTTGACTTGGAGGTATTTGCTATGAAAGTTCAATTTGAGGTAAAAGTTGCTAAAAAAAATTTGTTGGCTGTAGTTTGTCTAAAAAGTCTCTTTCAGGGGTTTTGTAAAGTCCCTTTGGGGGGTTTTTTGTAAATTTCCCTTAATTATATTTTAAAAATAATAATCCTATGAGATCCTCCCACACCCATGTGTGTAGGACTTCAGAGGATCACTATTAAATTTGATACATATAATGGTGATCTTTTGGGGTACTACACATATATGTGTGTGTGGGAGGGTCTCATAGGATCATTACTCATATTTTAAACCTATCTTTTATATTTTTTTGGAATTTTTTATTTTTTATTTTTTTAAACACTTTTTAGCTTGCCCACGACCTGCCTAACTCAGGTGAACTTGATCGAGTTACTCCGCCTGGCCCAAGACCAGGTCTCCAAGTCAGTATATTAATGGGGTTATCATCGTCCCATCCATGGCAAGGACGGTGATGATGTGAGGGTAGGCCGTGCATTTTGATTTGGTAACATATTTTCTCCCAATTCATCCCAGTTCAAATCCATCATTCTTGGATTAAAAAAAAGAAATGATGTTGCAACGAGTACTTAGGACACCAAAACGAGACGAAAACCATTTCACTGTTTCTATTAACGTCCTAATCAATCAAACTTTTCCCATCAATTAAAGCCAAAAATTTGAACACCCAACGGTCGAGAAGACCCACCTAAGATCATGGCCGTTAAAACCCCTCTTCTCCCATTTCAAAAATTAGAAATTCATTTATCTTTTCACCCCTGTTTCTCTAAGCAAGAGAGAGAGCCTGCTACTAAAAGTAAGCCTCCCTCTCTCTCTCTCTCTCTCTCTCTCAATTTTCATTTCTAACAGTTTTCATCACCCCATTTTCATTTCTTATAGCTTTGATCGCCACATCAAGGCCTCAAGGTATGTCTCTGTGAATTCTTTGTTGAATGGATGTCACGGTTTGTCATTTCAGAAAATTGATCTCTCTCTTTCTTGACCCTGTTGTTTCCATGCTTCAAGACCATCCCTGCTCTCTCTCTGTTTTCTCATTTTTAATCAGAAGCCTGGAATGATGCTCCAGAGTTGCGTGGCCGATATTTGAACCCTAACTTGACCCAAGTAGTAAACCGTTGAGTTTTCTTGTTTTAAATCTGTTTTCTGAGAAGGTGAATTATTATTGGGTTTTGCAGGTAATTTTGAAAGTGTATCACACACCCGAACATCATTAGCAGAGAAAGTAGGGTTCGATGGGGGTGTGTTTCCTCTTTGTCTACGCCTCTTTCAGAGAAGATAAGAGAACAGTGGGGACTGCTGTTTCCGATTGCAACATCAATAGGCAAGAGAGAGACAGATAGGTTAATGTGCAGGTTGTGTTAAGATGCAGGTATGTGCAATCACCATGTCCACATTTATGGTACTGGCTATAGGAATTCCAGTTCTCCATGTTGATTCCCATTTCAATATCTGTCTTCTGTCTCTCTCTTCCTCCAATACTCAAGTGCTCTAGTTTAATCTGTTGGTCTAGGATGTTTTTACATAATCTTTTATCATTTTTTTCTTGAGGTTGGTCCTGTTTGTAAAATAAATATTAATGATCTGATTGTTTTATTACGGTTTAGATTTGTCTATGGTTTTAAGAAATTAGTCCTCAAGTTTATTTCCTATAATGGTGTGAATTTTGACTTTAATTCAAATATTCTTAATTGGGCTCTTGTAGAACGTGATTATGGATACTAAAATTACTTTTTATTGATCTTGTGTCGATCTTTAAGTGACGATGAACTTAGACCAAACATACCTAAAGTTCTCTCTTGCAATGAGCAAAGAAGGCAGGTGTGTTATGCAAAGTAACAGAATCGATAGGACCTTCACCTTCTATAAGGTACACTACAAGAGACGGGGGCTTCTTTCTATTATAATGACTTTTAATTTGTCTGTCCTTGAATTCTGGGTTTCTGATCACACAGTTACCCTAAGAATCAGAGTTTTATTGATCTCATTTTACAAAATTAATGGCAGCTTTTTGGCCACAAATCTCAAGAGCAATATATGATCATGCCAATAACACCCATATTTGCAGTCCTTGAAGGTTTTAACTGCACTATATTTGCATTTTGGAAAACTGGCGCAGGAAAAATATACCCCATGGAAGGGGGATCTAAAGCTCAGATTTACATCAAAAGAATTTCTTGCATTACCAATCATATGCACATTATAAGAGTTTTGGATCTTTATCTATATGTTGATTTCGTTCATTATATTGAGGTGAATTACCTGTCTGATGTGATTCCAAGAGCAGTTCACCAGATTTTCGACACTTTTAAAGAACAGAAGGCACATTACAGTATGATAATAACCTTCTTGGAGAAATAACTGATTTATTAGCACCCAAGAAGTATCCTAGATCTCTTAAATATAAATCAAGGAAGTCAATTTCTGTTATAGAGGATGGATATGGCGGCATTGTAGTGAGAGGTTTGGAGGAAGAGTTTGTCTATAGTGCCAATGAGATCTATAACCTTTGGGAAGGGGATCTATAAAAAGGCATACTGCTGAAATGTTGCTAAACAAACACAGCAGGTCAAGGTATAGTATTTATAATAACATATTTCATTATAACTACAAAGCATTATAAATACAAGGAATATATTGCTGTATGTTAACTTCTGGTTTTCAATCCCTTTAAGAAAATTTGCATGATTAAATATGCTTGATTTTTAATGCAGCTGTTCCCATTCCATGTTTTCTAGAACTGTCAATGTAAAAGAATCCTCATGAGTGGATGAGGAGCGTATTAAATATGGAAAGCTTGATCTTGTGGACCAGGGGGGATAAGAAAACATTTCCAGTTTAAGCATTCGTGAGGTACATCATTTGTGTCTTGCATTTATTGAATGGAATAGAAGAACCTACAATGGTGGTTGTCTTTATATATTTTCCTATTGAGGATAGTCGTCATTATATATTGTGCTAGTTGAACTTTTGATTTCTTAATAGCATGAGACATGCCTATAATGGTCCAAAACTTGATAGATAATACGAACTTCAGAAAGAATATGAACTTGATAGGTAATATGAACTTAGAGAAAAAATGTTGGGAAGAGGGTCAGTAAAATGACATACTGCTGAAATGTTACTAAACAAACACAACAGGTAGAGGTATAGTATTTATAGTAAAATATTTCATTATAAATACAGAGCATTATAAATACAAGGAATATATTGCTGTATATTGACTTATGGTTTTCAATCCCTTTAAGAAAAGGTGCATGATTAAATATGCGTGATTTTTAATGCAACTGTTCCCAATCCATGTTTTCTAGAACTGTCAACGTGAAAGAAGCCTTGTGAGTGGATGAGGAGCTTATTAAATATGGAAAGCTTGATCTTGTGGACCTGGGGGAATAAGAAAACATTTGTGAGTGGATGAGGAGCTTATTAAATATGGAAAGCTTGATCTTGTGGACCTGGGGGAATAAGAAAACATTTCCAGTTTAGGCGTTCGTGAGGGATGTCATTTGTGTCTGGCATTTATTGAATGGAATAGAAGAACCTACAATGGTGGTTGTCTTGATATATTTTTCCCATTGAGTATAGTCGTCTTTATATATTATTCTAGTTGAACTTTTTGAATTCTTAATAGCATGTGACATGCTTATAATGGTCCAAAACTTGATAGATAATACGAACTTCAGAAAGAATATGAACTTGATAGGTAATATGATCTTAGAGAGAAAATGTTGTCCGAAATTCATTTTCCATGATTAGTTTCATATGACATGTCTATTTCTTCATTTTGGCATTTCCTACTAATGATTCATTGCCAATAACATTCGTCATTATCCAGAATATTCTTGTCTACATTGCCAATAACATTAGCCATTATCCATAACATTCTTGTCCCAAAGTTTGTAACGTTGCATTTTGTTTTCTAGTATACATGCTCACTCAAGAGCAACCCTAAAGACACTTGTTTATGGATGTCACTCACCCTCCTTATAACTACAGGTGAGACTCCTTTACTATTGTATTTCATTTTTCTTCATGGATTTGAAGAAACACTAGACTAATCCTTTCTGGTAATCTCTTTTAATGATCTTTTTGATAAATGAGAACTTTTTCCGTGCTACCGTTGATGCCTCCTAGGGAACGTGATCGAGAGCCTGCCGAATTAACGATGGCTCCTTATTTTCTTTCTTCTACTTCTTCTTCTCTCATTTCCACTTCTTCTCTCTGGACATTTTCTTCTCTTCTTTCTATTGTCTTTCTTCCTTTCTTGTTCATATCATTCTCACTCTACCGCTCTTCTGAGGTGCATGGTGCAATGGGTTCGTCCCCTAACATAGCATCTTAAGGTATTCAGACTTTGGTTTGAGACCTTTAATTTGCTACCGTTGATGCCTTCTAGGGAAGGTGGCAATGAAAACTTGCTGAATTAATGGGTGGCTCCTTCTCCTTCTCCTTCTTCTTCTCTATATGATCAATTATAGGTTTTCCAACATTAAAACAGCCTTTTCAGATGGAGTTTTTGAAGTACACCTTAATTCTACAGTTTAGCATTGCAACTTATTTTGGCTTTTTCCTTTATGGGTTAAATACCATAAAGTTTTATTACAAATCTTTCGCATCATTAAAATACATTAGATTCTTTACAGTAAAAAAATATTTTAAATTTCAAATATCTTAATTACATATAAGAATAATTTTTAAATTACATAGAAGAGTAATTTTTAATTTTATTTTAATTTTGTATTCATTACTTATACTGTATGTAAATATTCATTTTCATAGTTGGAATTTCTAACACTTTGTCATGACGGATATTTAGGTTTCATTTAACACTAAAGGGTATAAAATAGATTATTGATATTTTTTATTCTTTAAAAACTCATTACATTTCGGGAAAAGTTTATATAGGCTTTAAACGATCAAATTAGAGCGCACCTCAAAAAATTCATTAGAAAAGGGTTTTTTTTTATGCTCAAATATACTCAAATTGATCATCTCGGCATCAAGATGCATGGACATAAGAAAAAAAATGGATTTCAGGTTTTGAAAATAGTGCATTTTGTAATGCATTTTTGAACCGTCAATATTTAAGATTTTCAAGTTTTCATAGATTTGCTTGATATACACTATTTTTTAAGCTTTAAATTTTATAATTAGAAATGAAATATATTTTAAGGCTATCACAAAGGTTTACAGTATTGAAACCATATTTCTCAATACTATTTGAAGGTGAGCTCTACGTTGATTGTTTAGAGCCTCGGCTTTCTACGAACCACACCCTTACATTTCATGTGTAACATAATCCATTAATTTGAGGTAGCTCGGGGCTTTTCCCTGGTTCAAAGGCTTACGGAACTAGTGTATGCCTACTCGGAAGATCCAAACCGGACACACCTAAGTATCTCGGGCTTCCCACCGTAGTGAGCCCGAGTATCTCGAATTTGGTGGTCGTGCTCGAGACCATAAAAAATATATATATATAAAATAAAAAAAAAGAAATTTCTTTATCATATATATATATATATATGAGAGAAAAGATGGGAAAACACTACGCAACGTTTATAGGCAAAAATGAATCGTGATTTCGCCTGCCCCCATCACCGTCCAAAATTCATCGTGAATTAACGATTGTCAGATAGTGTTTCATTTTTCATTTTTTTTCTAACAATTGGAATGATTTGAAATTTGGATCGTGTATTCATCAAAAATAGGGGAATCTTTGAAAAATAAAAAAAAATATTTTACATGAAAAACATTGACCAGAATACTTTCGAAAAGTTTCAGGGGTATTTTGATCTTTTTCTCATGGATAATTTGTTTTATATTTTTATTAGATACGCTTTAGTAAGATGTACATACCCTCCAAATTTCAGATCATTCCGATTTGTAGAACAAAAAATAAAATATAAAACACTACCTGGCAATCATGACCGCGCGATGAAATTTGGACGGTGATGAGGGTAGGCGAATCACTATTCATTTTCGCCTAGAGGCGTTGAGAAGATTGTGAATGGTTTTGGCCATGAATACTTATTTTTATATTTTTACTTCTTTTTAGATTATTTTCAAAATACCTCTGGTCCCAAATTAATTTTTAAAAATCTATTTTTCTTCTAAATTGTATACAATGAGGCCAATTTACCTTTGGTATAAAGAGGTCACAACTATTTGCAACCATCTAATATGAAATCTGATACTTTGGGTGAGTCACAAAGTTCGAGGACATTTCTTTTGGACTTTGAGCCTATCCAAATAAATGCAGCGACCCAATTTCACATCTAATGGTCAAGATTAATTGTAACTACCTTATGCGAAAGGTAAATGGTCTTTAACTACTTTTTTAACCTCATGTACATGTGTTTTGTTATATTTTACTTTAAACCTACATTTTTTAGATTTTTTATACTTTATTTATTTATTTATTTACACTTTTTGGCATCGCTAGGCCTACGAGTAGCAACGGGTCGGGTACGGCTGGACCCGGACTTGGAACCCAAATAGTATTTGGGTCCAAAACTTGGACCCGTTCCCAGACCCGAATAGTGGTCCAAAATTTGGACCCATACCTCGACCCAAAGTTAGGTATATACCCCAAGTCTTGGGTCTAATCGGGTCCATTGCTACCCCTAGACTTGCTCAACTCGAGCTGAGTTACTTGGACATAGCCTAGGTTACTTGATCCGGCGCCGGGCTAGGTTCTTGGGCCAAGTCGTGCTTTCCTACACTGTATGGAACCAATGACCCTAGTCTAAGGTGTCTCGTGCATAGTTAACAAATCTCCGATTAAACGATGATTTTTTAAAAAATCGACGACTTTATGGAAACCGTTTAAAACTACGTTGTTTTGAAAAATTCGAAAAAAATCACGTATTTTTCGTAAAAACGTTTTAAACGTGATTTTTTTGTATAATTATTTAAACCACACTAAAACATTGTTTTTTTTTATCGATAAGTTTTGTTTTTGAAAGATATATATATATATATTTCCTGTAAGAATGAGCATGAAGTAGCAGTGAGATCAATCTCCCCAATCCTAGCCCCAAAACTCTCTTCTTCCAATTTCTCCTCCTCCCTTACATGTTCTTCACTCTCCCACCCCCCTCCTTTTACCACCGGAGAAGCCTCCTCATCTACAAGTTCTAACGACCTAAAATCCCTTTGATACCAGACACCCTAGAATTTATCAACCACAACAAGAAGAGATCCTAGAAGTCTCGAGCAAAATCCCTTTGATACCAAAAACCCTTTGATACAGGTCGAGCAAGCATGGGAGGCCAAATCCCTTTGATACCAAAAACCTTAAAGTCGCAACCAAAATCTTAAAATTAGTGACCACTTTTGAACTCCTTGAAACCATAGAGCTCACAATCCCATCTTCAACAAAGATTGATTTATGTTTTCCAGCCCTCTTGATATCATCTTGTAGACCTGAAACCCCATGATTATCATCTGAAACCCCAGAACGAGACCATAGAGTTACTAATCAAATCCACCAACCAATAATCTAGCGTTTTCAGTGTTCCTAGTTTCATCGTGCAAACCAAAAACCACCCTCTTCCTTTTCTCTCTC